GAACCTGATGGAGCAACATATGTTTTTCAAGGATTCATCCAGGGTAAAGATTATGGACAATTTGGACTTCAAAGATTAGGTATTAAGTTTTTTCCAGTTCATTGTTCCATATTATGTTTTATTAAGTCTAGTAGGATAAGGGTATCTGCAAGATGTAATCAGTATTGACATTTTACAGAATGTTGAGATATTCATATCTTTAAAATCTCATTTAAGTAGTACTTACATAGACTGTTTTGTCAGAAGTTACAAACGCCTTGTAGTTTACTGCTTATTATATCTATAAATTTATAATGTCTTGAGCAATGTTTTTCTATGAATATATGTAGAATGCATTTAGTTTCACATCTTAATAACTATTTAGAAAGTTCATGTTATAGAATGCTCTGCTAAACTGATTTCTTGTTCATGGTGCTGAAACAACATTTCACCTAAACATTTGCTAGAAGAATGAAACTGCTAAATATTTGTAAGTAAATTTTTATGTTACGCATAAGAAGAACAACATTTTACTTACCTGATAAGCATTAATTTCCTGAAAATTGAGTTCTTGGTTCTATACATTCAGTCCTACACCAAATTAATAGTCTTTATTTATCCTTTCGTTGAGAAGACAGCTCTGGTAACAGAGCTCTGGTAAAAACATTCTGTTGTGCTTTTTAAGAAAAATAATTTCTTTTACTCCTCTGATACTGTCTGTAGAACTGTGATATTTCTCCTGCCACAATAATTTGAATTTAGTTAATACTAAATTCTTGGATGATAAAATACTATTGAGAATGTCTTTGAAGAGGAATTACTTTTCACTGATGTAATGAGTCCTTAAATAGGATGATTATCTTAAAAAAAAATCCTATGCATGGATGCAAAAGTAAGTTCTTTCAGCCACAAAGTATCGTCCACTCTTATTTTTTAAGTAAAACCAGGAAATTCTTTAATTCTTGAATGTGCTGGAAGGATTTACTAATGAATGTATGAGATAAAGACAAATTTTTCTTTTTCCACAGTTCTATGTCACAGATGCACTGTTGGGATCTTGATTTTTACTGGATTTGCATATGCAAATTAAAAAATAATTTTTAGCAGTATCTTTATCAATAGATATTCCTTTCAAATTAATATAAAAAGAGTTATTTCCCCTTATTAACTTCTTCAAAATATTTCAAAGTAACCTAACAAAAATTGAAATGCAAGACTTCCTTGGCAAAATGTTTTGATAGATTCTTACGAAAATTTTATTTCTTCGCTTGATTTTCAGGAGGATTTTTCTTGTCTTTTTTTTTTTTTTTTGTAGTTGTGAGATTCCTTTCTGTAATATATGAAGGTATTTTTTACTGGTTTATATCTTCTAGAAGCAGAATGGTTCACTCGGGTTTAAATTCTATACAAGAATTAACTGTAGTTAATATAGTCAATGATATAGTTATGGAGAGAGTTACAATCATTGAATAGATTTTGTTTAGCATGTTTCCACTTCATTATTTCATGCACACAAACACAAAAATAGTCTATCTGAAACAAAATATTTTGATTGCTGTTCCTATAGAATTTTCCTCAAAACATTTGTTTTTCTGTATTTTAGTATATTTATTATCTATTTGTTTCTTTTTGGTTAGTTGGTTGGGTTTTCTTTAATTTCTATATGTTGCCTTGTGAGATCAAGAAAGTTAGAAATATTATGACCTCTGCAATTCTTAAAAGGTCCAGTTCAAAGCTTACAAATTAACTTTGAAGCTGCATTGGTATTCCTTTCCTCACATTAAAAAGGTGTATATCTTGTCTGTGTAGATAATCTAGATAATTTGTTCCTCAACCATGCAGCAGATAATATTCTTATTTCTTCATCAATATCAGGCTTTAGCTCTTCAGAATTGCTCCTACCTCTTTCACTCTATGTATCAATAGTAGTTACTAATGAAATTAGCATGATGAATTTTCAGCTTGACTCTTCAGGTGATTTACCATTTCCTTGAAATCATGTTTGCTTTTTATACATGCAGTATTTATTAATTTCTGAAATATACAAATATAATCAGTAATATAATCAAACATATATGTTATTATAAATTTGACTTTTTGTAACACAATACATTAAAGTGTACTAATAACATCCAAAACTTGAGTCCCATACAGAATTATGCAGTAAGATATTTACTGTACCAGAGTATATGTATTCTCTGACATTTCGCATTTATTAATAAGAAGATAGTATACCACACTACATTTTATTTCCAGGTGATCTCAGCATACAGCTGCATGTATACAGCTGAAGACATTATGGTTACCCAATCACATGGTGTTATTGAATTCTGAAGTTTATAGAGTAGTATGTGCTGGGGGTAACAGACACATATACTATATTACTTTTTTTTTTATTATTCTTTTTAGGTCTTAACATGTCTGAGGGTTCAAATTCTTCTAATCAACAACATGGTACAAATAGTAGTTCAGTGGCCATTGCTATCCTTGTGCCTTTCTTTGCTCTTATATTTGCTGGTTTTGGTTTTTATCTTTATAAACAAAGGTAAGTACAAATTATTTATATAAAATACCTGTATGACTTGGTGTTTTTATTGCCTTCAATCTTTCTTAGTGTAAATAAAGTTTTCTATAAAACCACAAAATGTTTGCAAAAATATGCATATAGTCAGTTCTTCCTACCTCCATTAAGGTCTGGCATAATGACTGAGAGATCAGTTTATTGTACCGTGCAATACTTTCATTCCTACATATTTAAAATATTATAAATGTATCTATTATAACAAAATGGATATTATAAATAATTGGTATATGGGGAATAAAATAATGAATAGATTTTGTGTGTACTTACAGTAGATTGCCTGGTTTATTTTTTAACATGTGACAAATTTGTAAGTCGTATCTTGACTAATTTATTTTAATGCCTGCTCTGTTTATTGGCCTGCAAGTATATGCAAGTATTATGTCATTGAGAGGTTACATTATGGAAATATTTCTGCATCTGAAATTATTAGTTCATATGCAATTATGTTACATAGCCACCATCTTTCTCGATTTCATTACTCTAAGTTCAACAGTTTTGTTCATGTTATTGAGACGGGTATGGGTTCTTTGGGTTTAATGTCAAGTAATCTTTTTGTATAGCTTTAAAAAATTAGATGACTAAAGAAAACTTAATGACTTTAATGACAAGACAATTCATTGCTTACTAACTGTCAAAATGGTGATTTACATCTGGTAGCCTGACCATAATAATTGCAATATACTCTGCAGGATAATATTAGTTTAAAACACATACCATCATTTTTAAATGGTACCATTTGTTTTGAACTGTTTCAGAATCTGAAAAAATGCTCATGTAATTTTTTATACATTTTCCATTAACTGTATGCTGTAAGCACTTGTCTTTACGTTTCATATATTGATAATATACTGATACAATACAGTATGTATTTTGCATAGCAGTATAGATGAAACATTTTTAAGGGATTAAATTTTGATATTTTGAGTTATTTAGTGAAAAAGAAAATGTTTCAGCTATAAATTCATTCTTGATAGCTTGTTGAGTCTCCAAAGGGATAAGGAAAATCTCAGTTGTCTGGCTGGGAAATTATTTTATCTTTAGAAGAACTTCTTGTACTCTTGACTGTTTATCATATGATCATCCAAGTGGAATTACCTACTTCTCAGGTTGTTAACTAAGTTTTTAAATTAACAACATTTTAAATGAATCATAAATCCCTTAAACTTTGATAAAGAGAGTACTAATTTTTAGCAGAGATACTGTAAAAAAAAATTGAGATGTTATATTTAGCTCCCATAATTAGAATTGGGAGCTAAATTCTGTTCAGATTCTTAAACCACATGAAGTCAGTGAAGAAAACTACAGTTACAAATACTCTGTCTTTCTTCTACAGGACTGCACCTAAAACACAGTATACAGGATGCTCTGTACATGAAAATAATAATGGACAAGCTGCTTTTGAAAACCCCATGTATGACACAAATGCAAAGTCTGTGGAAGGGAAAGCGGTACGATTTGACCCCAACTTGAACACCGTTTGCACAATGGTATAATGTGGCAATGATATGTCTTCAAAGTCTGGAAACTGATACACAACAAAGTGCACACACAGTTCACTGATTTAAAAAATTAAATAATTAAAAAAAAAATTAAAGCACACTTTTCAGGATATACTGGGTCACCTTTTCCTGAGGATCATAGACAAGAATGGGTTGTGGTTATTTTGATTTGATTTTGTTTTTCATAAACTGGATCAGAATTTTTCTTCGTGTATACCATGGAGAGTTTTAAAAAAAATTTGCTGCACTCCATGAGTGCTACTCACAGTTTATTTGCTTTTTTAAAAAAGGAGGTTATTCTAAAACTTAAAACATATTTGCATATATTGGAGGAGCATCCACTATCAGTATGTCTGTGCTTTATAAAAAACTATAATAGAGGAACTGGGTTAAAAAAAAGGTATAGGTAAAAAATAAGAGCTGTACTTACAGGAGACAATAGGTCACTGACTTCTGTTTAACAGTCATATGCTACATCTTTCTTATGAGTTTGTACTTTTTTTTTTCATTTATTCAGCCTGTTTAATATTTTATTTTTCTCGGAAAAATTAATTTTAAGTCCAGGGTGTAGTATTTAGAAATCAGCAAGTACAACTTACTCTTTTCATGTCACAGAAGAAAAATTAAAATGTCAGGTTCTTGTTTAATGAATTTCCTTCCCTGCTTCCTATCTTTCTTCCTTTTCATGTTCCAAGTCAAGCTCCTTCTCTCTGTTTCCATTAACAATACCCACAAATGGTGATGTTTTTACATTTCTTTTGTCAATCATACAACTAGACAAATTTTGCAATCAAGAAGCTAATATGAATTGAGCTTTGTCATGTGGCTATGTTCCTTACTGTTGAAGATCATCAGAAGAGTGACTACCTTACATTTTTTTCAAATGTGAAAACATAATCTAATGATATTTCAAATTAAAAAATGCAGTTTACAGTAACATTAGTAATCAAATCCATATATCAAAAATTTAAGACTCCATTTTACAATCCATGGTAGTTAAACATAGACTATATCACATCAGTTTATTCCTTCAGCATTTTGTCAAAATGCATGCACAAAGCATGGCAAAATCCCATTGAAGTTGATGGATTCTAACAGATTTCAATGAACTTTGGATTAGACATTATAAGAAGGTCTGATAAGAAGTTATAATTTGGAAACACTGTGTTTTCACATCTATTTTATCTATATATTCCATACTTTATGGAAACAAATCCTTACAGCTAATGATTTAAAATTGAATATATTACTATAGTGCAATGAAGAAAAAATAATATATATATATAAAGCCATGATTTTATTAGGGACAATCCATTCATTTTAGGGACAATTCCGATTCCACAGCCCTCAGATGCAAGTTGTAGACATTCCAGAATCACTTCTAACGAAATGTAATTTTTAGTTTTACAATTATTTCATATCAGAATTATTGAGTAGCAGCTCCGTAATTTATTTGATGTAGGTCATTGTCTTCCGTTCATAGCATGACTCACAAATGCTGTGTGTTAGCCAGTGTGGATTATCTGTTATTGTCCCTTTCAGACATTAATGATTCCGTGAAAATCTAAAGTTTTTATTACCGTAATAGAGAGTGCCTACCAAAAATCATTGTACCCAGGATTGCTGCTTGGATTTCTATAATGTTTGATGAATTTCTTATAAACCATTTTACAACATTTTGTTTTGAATATGCATACAACTCTGTCAAACTGTATTCTACTAAAAGGATGCTGTTTTATATTTTATACCATTGGTTGTTATTTATTCTTGTTTATTCAAATGACTGCAATAACTATGATTCATTCATTAATGTTAAGGTTAATACATTTGAGATCGTTTAAAATGTTTCTTCTGCAACTGGCTACTCCTCTTATATTAATGCATACACTTTTGTAAAGAAGTATATTTTTATGAAAAAGGATTTGTAAAAGTATGATGTAAATTTTCAGTGCAATGTAAACAAAATAAAAATGGACAATTGCTTTTTTAAACCATGTTTCTTCTTTGGAAAAGGAGCTTTAGACTCATTTCAGTTGTGAACATGAGAAAGTAACTAAATTAAAAATTCAAATCTGGTATTTCTGTGGGTTTTAAAAATGTTATTTTTTCTGAATCCTGTGAATTGTAGATGCTGTAGCAAGACTTTGATTACTTTCACAAATAACCAATGAGCACAATATGTAATATCTATTTACTAATACGAATTTTCTGTTTCACTTGAAGAAACAGATTTAAAAAAAAAGAACAAAAAACACCTATACTTGTCAACCCAGTGAAAAGCAAAGAAAAACCTCTTTTTTTTACTTTAAAAGAAAAAAAATTAAGAAAACCTTAGTGTTCCTCAAGGTTGTAGACGCCTATTTTGCACATTAATTTTGCTACCTTTCTGCAGAAATGTACAGTACGTACGTATTAATAAGCAGTACCACAGCATACAGTATCTTCTGGCATAAAAAAAACAGTGTTGTCTTTTAATGACATTGAACTGGAGGGGAGGATCTTACTATAATATTAAAACTATCTTTTAAGTACCCCTTTTACTTACAAGCGTGGGAAGTGGATGACAAATGCTGATCTGAAATGTTATTCTTTGCATAACTGGGGGAAAAAAAGGTCTAATATTCTTTTGTGAGTTTGGTGCTTTATGTAAACTGAAAGGTCAATTCAGGCCCACATTGAAATCACTGAAGACTGCGCTGTTAAATACATTAGAAAGAGAAGCAAGGAATAGCAGTAAAAATTATATTGTGTAGACCATGCACTAATGTTATTTGGGAGGTTCTAGATCAAGTTGGTTTGTTCTGAAAATCAAAAAAAAAAATCTTGTTTCACAAGGGCCAAAATTTCATAACCAACCTAAAATCTGAAGTTAACCTCTTCCTTTTCCGATTTATGCATTATATGTTTTAACATATAAAAGTAAATAAAACTTATGTTGAACTTGTTCAACAATTCTGTTAATGCTTAAGCTAATATCCAGCTTGCGCTTTTCAAGGACTATGAATGAGCTATGAAGTCAGTGACAGGGAATCTAATATTTATAATAGATTGTGGGGTTTTTGTTGGGTTGGGTTTGTTTGAACTTTTTTTCATTTTGTTTTGTTGGGTTTTTTTTTTTTTTTGTTTGTTTGTTTATTTATTTTTTAGTGTAGTTCCTGAAATGTCTGACTTGTAAATTGTGTGTGAATTGTTCAATTTTCTAGTAGCAGAATGGTTGAATTTCACTGTGGCATATGGAATTTCAAGTTTTGGTTGCTTGATTGAAGTTGGTTAGCACAGTCTACTTGCTGTTTCTTGTTTTTCTCAGGAAAATAGCTGAAGTTATTTAGACTCTGTCCTCCAAGCACTGTGGCTACATTATTCAAGAAAACACACTACATAGAGAAGATGTTCGGGACTACAGAGATTGTTACACAGCTCTGTGAGTCCTTTCAAGATTCAGGCAATCCTGCAATACTACCGAATGAGATTTAAAACTTCATTTAAGTTTCCATAACCAATATCTACTAAACTGGGCAATTCTGGAGGCACTGGGACTAGCTGTCTCTGATACGCATTAAGCTCTTTTAATTCTACATTATCTGCCTGTCAGGAGCCAGCTGGTCCATTACGTTTCATTGAAGTCATGTTACAATCTGGTTCATTATGGAATCCAGAAACCACACGGTATCGCCTAAACTCAGCAAAGTAGCAGTTCTAGCAGAACTATGTAGAACAACTAGACTATCATAAAATGGAGCTAAAAATGTCTGATTTTACTTTTGTTTGTGAAACAGAACTGACATTAATATGTAGATATCTTATCCTGGAAGAATTACTTGACAACAATACAACAAGTTGTTCTAATCAAGGAAATACTTTAATAGATACAAATTTTATTGCTTCTTATAGAGACCTAATGGGAAGTAAAGAGAGTCTATAGCCAAGTCATTAAGGTATTAATCTAGGTAAAAGACAGCTTTTCTTTTCTAGGCCTTAAAAGCGTATGTTATATCTCAACACACTAGTACAGCTGGCTGAAATGTTATGAAGTGTTCATAATTTTTTCCAAAATTAGTGAAATATGGGGAATTGAAAATTTTGTTTATCACTGCAGATAGGTCACAGATCTATATCCCAGTGTGTAGATTCAGTTGTAAGTCCCTAACTACTATCTAACTGCTACAACATCTTAATAAAGCATAGATATCTTGTGCCATTTTTTTACCTTGTATGTTTCTGTCCAGGCTCTTTCTAAAAAGGATGATCTGTTCCATGATGAGAAAGTCAGTATGTGTTGCAGCATGCTGCTTTATGGTAAAAGGATAGAATTCCAGAATCCTTGAATCTTTGGGTTGAAAGGGACTTTTTAAGATCCTCTAGTCCAATGCCTTGTAATGAGCAGGGACATCTTCAACTAGATCAGGTTGCTCAGAGCCCCATTCAACCTGATCTGGAATGTTTCCAGGGATGGGTCATCTACCACCTCTCTGGGAAATCTGGTCCAGTGGTTCACCATGCTCATGGTGAAAAAATTCTTCCTTATATCTAGTCAAAATTTACCCTCTTTTAGTTTAAAACCATTACGCTTGTCCTGTTGGTACAGGCCCTGCTAAAAATCATCTTCCTTAGAAGCCCCCTTTAAGTACTGGAAAGGCTGCAATAAGATCTCCCTGGAGCCTTCTCTTCTCCAGGCTGGGTGTGGAGAAGACATGGGTATATTAACAGGCTGTGTGTGTGTACACATTTTATACACCATTAATATTGGAGGCATTTGGCAAATCTGCTTATTTGTACACCCTTTTTGCATGCCATATGTGGATAGTCTGGAGCCTTCTCTTCTCCACGGTGAACAGCCTCAAATCTCTGTGTTCCATCCCTCTGATCATTTTGGTAGCCCTCGTCTGGACCCTCTCCAGCAGGTCTGTGTCTTTCCTGTGCTGAGGGCTCCAGAGCTGGACACAGGACTCCAGGTGGGGTCTCAACAGAGCAGAGAGGAACAATCAACT